TTTCAATTTTTTTGGTTTTACCTCCTCATCTTATTTTCATCTTTCGTCATTGCATTCAAGACGCACACGCACGCACGCACACACACACACACACACACACACACACACACACANCACACACACACACACACACACACACACACACACACACACACACACACACACACACTTCCAGCCCCCTCCTCCCTTTGTTTTGAGTGGCGCTCTCGAAGGAGGGAGAACAGGCAGGGACAGGAGATGGGGAAAGCAGCTGAGCACTGACCCTCTGAAGCAGCCCTTTACGTCAGAAAGAGACGCTCTTCACATCAGACACAAAGACACCTGGCTTTGGCTTATTTGCATCTCTGCCTTCGTTCTGTCTTTCCCCATCTTGCCACCATCCTCGAGAGTAAAAACACCTACGCACAAACGGGAACTGCATCCTGCTTTCAAGCTTGATTTTTTTTTATTCCTCCTTTTTCCCCCCCTCTTGATACCACACCCAAGGCTTTAGGGATGTTTTTCATGAGCTCAAGCCACAGGTAATCATCTTTGCTTGAAAAGAAGCACTGCTTAAAGATGAAGAAAATCTGGTCCAAAAAGAGATTTCAGGTGAGTTTACTGCTTTACGAAAAATAGATGCCACATGTCGTGTCCTTATTTTTATTATTATTTAGATTTGTTTTTCTCCTTAAAATATTCGATTAACACGCCACACCCTTTATTTGATAATAATGCTCTTTTAAAAACTATTTCTAAAAATAACCGTTAAAATGAGCGTTGGTTCAGATCATTTCAAAGCAGTTTTGTGGAGGAAATGCACGAGCGATAAAATGATGGATGAATGTGACAGTTGCTGTTTTCTGTCACAGATATTTGCTGAAAAACCGAGGACAAATAGCAACAGCACAACAAAAAACAAAAAAAAAACTCTCCAGGAAAACTCAAAAACAATTCTTTGAATACGTGACCCAAATGAAAATAATTTCTCACAAATCTCGCACTAAAATACTAAAATGATCAAATTCCCTCTCTTTCCTCTGTCATGTTGCGCACATTCTGTGTCATGAAATACGCTTTTCGCTTTGGCAGCTGTGAGAGTTTTATTATCTAATAAGTAATTCATTTAACAGGTTTTACAAATTTGGGGCAGATGAAAAGTGTGTCAGTAGGCTACTCTCCACAGAGACATGGGAATCAGGCCAGTGCCTCGCAAGGGCAACAAATTGGGAAAAAGGCACAAGATGAAGTTTATTTCTGTCTTGCCCTTTTTTTTTTTGCATCAGTATCAAACCCTTGAGACGTGATCTGCAGTATCCAGCTCAGATTTGTTTGAATAATGCTGTCAGGATTTGGATTATACCCGCTTTCTGAAGTATTTGCCAAATTCAGATTTTCCAGTGGATGCCATCTGAGGCTGGGTTTTACTGATATGATTTCCTGCAGGACACAACAATGAGAACCACAGCAAAGAGAGAAGCTTCTAGGAGGATCTGTGAAACACCACGAACCACCAGGCAGCCGTTAATCAAACTGCCTGACACAAAAGCATCAACCAACGGGGAGTACACAGTTAACACAGTGGGAGATTAGTGCGAAATGAGTCATTTTACTTTTCCTACCTTTGCTTTCTATTCGCTGGAAAGCAGTGAGTCATGTTGAGGAGCTCTCAATAATTCTGATTGACTGCCAGGAAGCAGTTTTCTTAGCTGCTATATCAGCATGGATGCTCTCTTGAAATACATTCTGAAGCACATCTTAGGTACATAATCTATAGAGTAACTGACTTTTACTAGGGCTGTGCGTTTCTGGTCTGGTCAATACAATATGAATCTTGATGCACTGCTGACAATACAACTCGTTAAAGACACGAGCAAAAGAGTTACGATATGATTCAGATCCTATTCACAATACAATTCAAGCTGTAATTACAATAACGTTCAGTCTTTATCATCATCATACAATTTGAATCTTAATCAAGATATAAATTGGGCCTAAGTCACTGTATGAGTTGGCCTTTAATTATAATGGAAGTCGACCTTTAGCCACTATACAAGTCAGCCTTTAGTCTCTATGTGACACAGCTTTTAATCACGAAACAAGTTGGCCTTCAGTTACTATACAAGCTGGCCTTTAGTCACTATACAAGCTAACCTTTAGTCATTATACAAGATGGCCTTTAGTCACCATACTAGCTTATCTTTAGTCACTTTACAAGATGACCTTTAGTCACTAAACTAGCTTATCTTTAGTCACTATACAAGTCAGCTTTTAGTCACTATACAAGCTGCCCTTTAGTCTTTAAACTAACTGGTCTTTAGTAACTATTCACGATGGCCTTTAGTCACTATACAAGCTGGTCTTTAGTCAATATACAAGCTGCCCTTTAGTCTTTATACTAACTGGTCTTTAGTCACTATACATGATGGCCTTTAGTCACTATACAAGCTGGTCTTAAGTCACTATACAAGCTGATCTTAAGTCACTAGTCACTATAGTGACTGGCCTTTGGTCACTATAATAACTGGTCTTTAGTCACTGTACGAGATGGTCTTTAGTCACCATACAAGATGGCCTTTAGTCACTATGCAAACTAACATTTAGTCACTATACATGCTGGCCTTTAGTCACCGTCACTATTCAAGCTGATCTTTAGTCCCTGTACAAGCTGGACTTTAGTCAATATACTAGCTGATTTTTAGTCACTAGTCACTATACTAACTGGTCTTTAGCTGGCCTTTAGTCACTATAATATCTGGTCTTTAGTCACTATACTTATTGGTCTTTAGTCACTATACAAGATGATCTTTAGTTAGTAAACAAGATGGCTTTTAGTCGCTATACTAACTTGACTATTGTTACTATACAAGATGATCGTTAGTTACTATAGAAGATGACCTTTAGTCACTATACTAACTGGTCTTTAGTCACTTTACAAGATGACCTTTAGTCACTATACTAACTGGCCTTTAGTCACTATACTAGCTGATCTTTAGTCACTTTACCAGGTGGTCTTTAGTCACCATACAAGATGACCATTAGTCACTATACTAACTGGTCTTTAGTCACTATACTAGCTGGCCTTCAGTCACTATACTTGCTGATCTTTAGTGACTATACTAGCTGATCTTTAGTCACTATACCAGGTGGTCTTTAGTCACTATAAAAGATGGTCTTTAGTCACTATACTAGCTGGCCTTCAGTCATTATACTGGCTGATCTTTAGTCACTATACCAGCTGATCTTTAGTCACTATACTAGCTGGCCTTCAGTCATTATACTGGCTGATCTTTAGTCACTATACCAGGTGGTCTTTAGTCACTATACAAGATGGCCTTTATTCACTATACTAACTGGTCTTTAGTCACTATAAAAGATGGTCTTTAGTCACTATAAAAGATGGTCTTTAGTCACTATAAAAGATGGTCTTTAGTCACTATTAAAGATGGTCTTTAGTCACTATACAAGATGGTCTGTAGTCACTATACTAGTTGATCTTTAATCACTATACAAGATGGCCTTTAGTCACCATCTATAAGTCAGCCTTCATGTGACATTGCATTCAATCACAAAACAAGTCAGTCTTTGGTAACTATACACTCTGGCCTTTAATCATAAGACAATTGACAATTTGTAATTGTAATAACTGCCTTTTGTCAAAACATGATGAAAGAATATCTCATCTATGGGTCATCTGAATGAAATGTGTGAAATGTAATCGTAAAGAATGCACCAAAGCACTTTTCTGAGCTTCACCAACACATTCCATGATTTTGAACACAAAAGCCTAAATTTTTGGTAATTTTTCTTGCGTGCTAACAAAGAGTATTTTTTTCTACCTGGGAAATCACAATGTTCAAATATATTTTGAGGTTTCCTCTTTTAAATGATGTCAAAATATTCTTGTTAGAATCCTCCAAAAAGAGGGTTTGAACCGATTTTCCAGGGGTTATCCCAATTAGCAAGGCAAATTAAGCCATATCTTTAAAACTGCTCATGATATCAGGACGATCTAAGTGTTAAAATGTCTCTTTGGAAACAAAGAATCTAAAAATGCACACTTCATTTGACCAAATCTGACTTCAACCTCTGTTTGATGTGTTGAGTCACATTTATGTTCAACATCAATATGTGAGACATTGGCATAGCAAATAATTAGAGTGAATTAAACAGCCTGCCACTACTATATGTGAATAATCTAATGGACCATAAAGAAGACTTAAATTTGGGCCGAGATTCTAAAGCACATGGTAGAAAATTTGGTACATTGTGATATGACAAAGAGGAGTAGCAGGATGTGGCTTTCTTACAACTAATATAGTCACCACAACACTATACGATGTCATGTTTTCCTATTTTGAAGTTTTAACACAAACTGTAAGAAGTTCAGATAAACATCTGAGAATTTGCTCAACATTAAAGTTTCAAAATATCTTTATTGTCAAACTACAGAGTGAAATATCTGTATACCACAGCAAGTAATGAGTGAGTGGGCCTATCTTTTAGGCTATGTCCAGAACATGAATGTTGGATCAAAGTCAAACCTTTCCAAAAGGGAGCTGATCTTGTTGCATATCGCAGAATATCAGAACAGTCTCAGAAATCACTTGTTACAATCAGATGTGCAATATCTCCTGGGTTTAAAAAGTTACCAACACAGAAACTGTTGCATTTGATGCACAGCTCTTTGACATGACTCCTTTTCCACTGGAAACATTTGACATTTATCCAATATGGTGGCTTTTGTGATGGAGGACATGTTCTGATCCCCACCCATTATTTGCTGGGGTGTTCAAATATTTCATTAATTTCTGAAATAAAAGAGTGTCTTGAGGCTTTTGACTCACCCTATATATTATCTTGTAATTATAAACAGTTCTTCTGTACCTTTGGGACATATCTTGATGAATGCAGGCAAACAAAATGTGCAAAGACCGCAGCAGTGTTCAATTTCAACCGTCTGTGCTGAGCTGGATCTTGAGCTGTTAGATAATGTTTTGTTTTCTCATGTCTTGTTTCAGAGAACTGGGCATTCCACACGGACATTTGGCAGATTGACCCATGGTGTGTTGTCAGTATGAGCTTTATATCAGTTCTCTATGATTCTACTGTGTTATGTCATTTTGTTTCTGTTAAAACTGGTTTATATTTTAGCGCTGCTGTTGCTTTTGTTTGTCTGTTTTTCTGTTTAGCTGCACACAAGTGGGTTTTATGATCCACCCCCACAAAGCAGTATTTTCTTGCTGCTGCATCTCTGCATAAAATCTTTTAAGTTGGAAAACACCTGGCCTCGGTGCTTTATGGTGTAATATTTGGCAAATATTGATGCTTTCCTTGACTCAAGCCCAAATCAGATGCTTGCAGCACCAAACCCCCCAATCCTATTTACAAGACAATTGGAGTTATAGAACATCCCTGGTAATTACACTGCTGAGTCAATTTTCCTCGCTTGGTGTGCAAGCTATTTAACTTCATTTGGTGTCGCCGTTGTGTTACGCTGGCTTTCTCATCATTAGCTTCTGGAATGATCTAATAAGGATCTTTGACTTGATGTGAGGCGCAATGAGGTGCAACCAATTCTGTGGTTGTCGTCCTCCTCCTCCGCAGGCTCTCTAACCAGTAAACATATCTGTCAGCCGACCAGCGGTTTGGCTGGTGATTTTAGACTCTAATGGGTACGAAGAGGATTGGTCGTGTGGGTGAGAGGGATGCTGGTTTCCATAGTAACGGTGCTCTCCCGTCTGCCCTCTCTTGCTGCCACTATGGAAGCGAAGTTTTCCGCTCCTGCCGAAAGCAAAGCTATGGTAAACCTGCCTGTCTTTGGTACTCCGCTCCCCCCACTCCAACCCCAGCATCTATCCTTCCATCCATTCATCTGTCCCTGACTCTGCTCATCCTGTGGTTTCTGACTTTCATTTGATCCTTTGTGGTTTCTGTACCCTTCAGACTTTTTTTCTCTCCTTATTGTTGACATTGTGTAATTTTTTTCCTATTAAACCAAAAGCCTGCTACATTGAGTTCTTTTTTGTTGTTGTTGTTGATCATGAAGTTCAGATTCAATCTACAACTTTTTATGTTTTCAGTTGCGTGTATTTTCCTTTCTTGTGCTTCAAAAGATCTAATTCAGCAAGTTTTTATGTGAAATTAGTAGGTATAATCAGTTTGATTAGGAGTTGGTTTTATAAAACACAAATACTTCAGAAGAGAAGGGAGAGCATTACTGCCATTTTTCAGCCATGTCTTTTTTCAAAGCCAGGGCAAATTTAATGTTTTGTTTCAGCTTTAGTCCATTTGTTTTAATCTGCAATCTAATAAATAAAACAGACATTTACTTAAAATTTTCAGTGCAACAAATTTACACTCAAAAATATTGAGTAAATTGGGAACCAGTCAAGTATTTTAAATATACTTTATCAATTGCATTACTACAACTAAAAAAATTAAGTTATCATGAGTAACTGTAGCTAGTGCAGTAACTTACAAAATTAAGTAAATGTAACTGAAATTATAAGTTGGACAAACAGCTATTTTAAGTGAAACGTACATTAAATATGGAGAATAGTAATGAAATTATTAGCTGATGTAACTGATTGCAAAAAGGTCAATCAACTAAACAAATGCTTCATTTAGCTAGTATATATATA